CATCCCTTGTTTTATGTTCGACATCGACGTACATCGACATCATGTCCGCCAGGGTCTTGTTGAGCCGTTCTGTGAGACCGTTAGTTTGCGGGTGGTATGCGGTAGTTCGGCGATGAGTGGTGTGGCTGTACCGCAAAATGGCTTGCATCAGTTCGCAACAGAAGGCTGTCCCTCTGTCAGTGATAAGGACCTGAGGTGCACCGTGGCGCAGGACAATTTGGTGAACGAAGAATCTGGCGGCTTCTTCAGCAGTGGCTCGAGCAAGGGCGCGGGTTTTTGCGTAGCGAGTCAGGTAATCTGTCGCCACAATGATCCACTTATTTCCTGCGGTAGACGTCGGGAAGGGTCCCAGAAAGTCCATTCCGATTTGTTCGAAGGGCCTTGTTGAGGGTTGAAGTGGCTGGAGTAGTCCAGCGGGTTTTGTTGGCGGTCTCTTGCGGCGTTGACACTCTCGGCACGTCCGTACGTAATGCTTGACGTCTTCTAGAATGCGCGGCCAGTAGTAATGCTCATGTATCCGCGAAAGCGTTCGTGTACACCCAAGATGCCCGGAGGTTGGTTCGTCATGTGACGCCTGCAAGATTTCCTCACGCAATGACGACGGCACGACGAGAAGGTAGGTGCTCTTCCTAGAGTCGAAGTTCTTTTTCACGAGGACACCGTCTTTTAAGCAGAATGTGTGAAGAGCACGCCTGAAAGTTTTGGGTATCTCCATACGTTTTCTTTCAAGATGTTCAATGAGACAGTTCAGTTCAGGGTCGGCCCGTTGTTGGGCGACTAAGTCGGAAGCGGTGATCATGCCCAGAAAACTGGCATCGTCGTCTGCACACGGTGGTGGTTGCTCAACCGGGGCTCGAGACAGACAATCTGCGTCGGAATGCTTTCTTCCATTCTTGTGCACTACCAATATGTCGAACTCCTGGAGCCGCAAGCTCCACCTTGCGAGACGTCCGGATGGATCCTTTAGGTTCGCAAGCCAGCATAAAGCATGGTGGTCGGTAATGACGGTAAAAGGCCTGCCGTACAAATATGGGCGGAATTTGGAAGTTGCCCACACAATTGCCAAGCATTCCTTTTCGGTCGTGGAATAATTGTACTCTGCCTTAGACAAAGATCGACTGGCGTAGGCGATGACGTGTTCTTGTCCATCCCGCCTTTGAACAAGAACGGCACCGAGGCCGACACTGCTGGCGTCGGTGTGGATTTCTGTTGCCGCGTTCTCGTCAAAGTGGGCCAAAATGGGGGGCGCTTGAAGACGTCTTTTGAGCTCCCGAAACGCTTCTGCTTGGGGTGCCTCCCACACAAACGAGCTGTCTTCTTTCGTTAGACGTGTCAGGGGCTCGGAGACCTGCGAGAAGTCCTTGACAAAGTGCCTATAGTACGTGCAAAGTCCGAGAAAGCTTCGAAGGCTCTTTTCGCGGGGCTGCGGGAAGTCTCGAACTGCAGCTGTCTTCTCTGGGTCTGGTAGAACGCCGGCAGAACTGACGACGTGACCAAGAAACTTCAGCTGCTCGTAGGCAAAACGGCATTTTTCGGGCTTTAACGTAAGTCCTGAAGCCTAAGTGCATCAAGTACGACACAAGAGGACTAGCGCTCTGTCCTCTTGTGTCGGTCTGCTCGGCCGTTTCTTCTTCCCTGTAATGCGCTATACCAGTTCAAGTACCACTTTTAACCTGCTGATGTATTCCTCGAAAGATGGAGCGAAAACTATGACGTCGTCCAAATACACCAAACACGTTTGCCATTTCAGGCCAGCCAATACGGTGTCCATTACCCTTTGGAAAGTTGCTAGGGCAGTGCAAAGTCCAAATGGCATGACTTTAAACTGGTATAGTCCATCTGGTGTAATAAACGCCGTCTTTTCGCGATCCCTTTCATCAACTTCCACCTGCCAGTAGCCAGTCCTTAGATCCATAGATGAAAAGTATCTGGCATTGCAGAGACGATCGAGGGCGTCATCGATTCGAGGGAGCGGATAAACATCCTTTCTCGTTACCTTATTGAGTCGGCGATAGTCAACGCAGAATCTTGGAGTGCCGTCTCGTTTTTTCACGATCACTACAGGGGAAGCCCACGGGCTTTGGGAGGGCTCAATGATGTTGTCATGAAGCATTTCTTGTACCTGTTTCCGGATTGCCTCGCGCTCTTTCATGGACACACGGTACGGCGATTGATGACTTGGTTGCACATTTTCATCAGTTATGATGCGATGTTTTACAAGCGTTGTCTGGCGGATCTTGGGTGACGTGGCGAAACAATCCTGGTAGCTATAGAGCAGTTTCCGCAGCCTTTCATGTCTTTCCAGGGGCAACGCCGGATTCACGTTAAAGAACTTGTCGTGTGTACGAGGATGGAGCGTGTCGTCGATCGTGAGTACATCGCTTATGTCCGGGATAGCCTCGAATAGTGCCACAGTGGTGCCCTTTGCAAGGTGACGATATTCCGAGCAGAAATTAGTGATTAGTACACTGACGGTTCCTTCAACGATGTGAACGATTCTTCTGGCGATAGCCAAACCTTTTTCAAAGAGCAAACTCTGGTTGGCCTCGACCAAACCTTCCGCGCAGATGCAGCAGTCAGCGCCCACGGGGATGACAGCACTCGAGCGTGGTGGCATAGTGACGTGCTCGTCGAGAATCATTAGCGCCGCTGATAATGCAGGACTTGGATTTCGCAGACGCCCGTATCTGGTGACAGGGTGATTGTTTGCGCTTGAAGATCTATGATTGCTTTGTTTGCCGAAAGGAAGTCCGCACCGAGAATGACGTTCCGAGAGCACTGGTCCAGGATGACGAAAACGGAAGGGTACGTATGCCCTTCCACATCCACACGAGCTGTGCATCTTCCCTTTGGTGTTATGACGTGACCGCCTGCTATTCGTACCTGCGGGCCTTCCCACGAAGTCAGCACCTTCTTCAACTGGTCGGCGAACACCGCACTCATGACGGAGAAGTCAGCACCGGTATCAACCAACGCAATTACGTCCCGGTTGTCGATTTTCACTGCCAGATCGGTCGATTTTATCTTGGCGTTGCAGGTCTGTCGTGGTGTACTGTTGCGGCTTGAACGGAACTTAGTGCTGATATGTCGCTCGTGTTTCTCACATGCTGCAGGTAGTGTTGCTCCACTGGGACTTTCGGGCGGGGGAGGTTCTTCAGGGGTGCGCCGGGCAGCAACCACACCTCCATTGGTTGCCGTCTTTAGTTTCCCAAATGAGGGCTAGGGGATCTTCCCCGTGATGCTCCTGTGTTGGCAGGGTGTGGCGATGGGTAACGGCGAGACGAAGGCGACGGCGACCTGCGGCGGCCCGCTGGCAAACTTTGTTGCTGCAAATAGTCTTCAATCTCAGCTGGCCTTTGACCAGGTTGCGGACGTGAAGCGCCGACGTGAAATCCACGTAATCCGAGGTTCCTATAGAAACAGTTACGATACAAGTGGCCAGGTTCACCGCAGTGGAAGCACAGCGGGCGATGGTCGTCAGTCCTCCACACGTCGGACTTTCTAGGGACGGCTCTCTCGGCAGGAGGTCGGTAGACATTTGGTTGTGGGCGTGGCGGTGGAGAGTCCGTCGGTTGGGCGGGGCGCACTGGGTTGCACGCGGCAGCGGCGTACGACATGATTTGTGGTCCTCGTGGAGCCCACTAAGGCTCCTGGCTTGGTGGAACTAATGGTCCGGTTCCCAGCGTCTGTTGAACTTCTTGTCTGACGACATCGCTCAAGGTCGCCACTTGAGGACAAGAACTCGGGAACATCTTCCATAGTTCCTCTTGCACAACAGCCTTTATGGTGTCCCGAAGGTCGCTGACGGTTACAGCATTAAGCTCAACTGGCGACGTACCGTCTACCGGAGCAGGGCGTCCATACTGTCTCCGCCGCACATCGAGAATCTTTTCCATGGCGGCTGCTTCCGTTGCAAATTGGGAGACAGTTTGCGGTGGATTGCGCATTAATCCAGCAAAAAGTTCTTGCTTCACTCCTCTGATAAGGAATCCAAGTTTTTTTTCCTCTGGAATTTCCGGATCTGCTCGACCAAACAGATGCTTCATTTCTTCGACGAAGACAGCGACGCTTTCGTTAGGCAGCTGGAAGCATGAATGCAGCTGCCTCTCCGCCCGTTCCTTGCGAGCGACGCTTGAAAACGTCCGAAGAAGGCTGCCTTTGAAGTCCTCCCACATCCTAAGCACGGATTCGTGGTTGATAAACCAGGTATGCGCAGACTCTTCCAATGTGAAGTAGACCCACTGCAACTTCGCTTCGTCATTCCACTTGTTGATGGCCGCCACGCGCTCGAACTGTTCCAGCCAGTCCTCGGGGTCGTCGCACTGCGTTCCGCGAAATTTAGGGGGTTCACGGGGTTGCTGCAATACGACGGCTGTTGGCAACTGGGCTTCACTCATCTTGACAGGCCTGGCTTCTTTCGTGGCGGATAGTTTTTCTGGAAGGAGGTCGTGCTCCGGGGGAAGTCCTAGCTGTCGGCGGCTTCTTCTCTGGTCGTTTTCCTTTGCTTGGTTAGGACTGGTGTCACGGCTGCGCGAGGGGTTACTGAACATACCCAGCACCTCCACCAGATGTCACGTGCGTCGTCGTCACTAGAAGCCACAGAAGACGAGGGTGCGGCAGACAAGGTTTATTAGTAAGGAGGCGTACTTGTGCCTCACGCTTAGGACACAAAAGGAAAACTAACAGGATCGGAGCAGCGTGCCTATGCACAGTTTCCGTTCCACCAAAAGAACAACCCACAGCTTAAGCGCTGCCAGTTATTTAAGCGCTGAAAAGACAACACAGAACATGCGCACATCTATCATCAGATACTGCACTGTCTGATACGATGGGCCCATCGGAAGTTAATCGCAGTCCGCTCTAGCCTATCTAAATGACGCGACGGCTGTCGCTCTATAGTGGCAGCTGCGCAGAACGGCATGGCACGTGGCAATATATTCCCCAAGCAATAAAGCCAGACAAGTACTTAGTTGCTTCCCAGTAGTAGTAAAGAACAGAGGATGATTGTGCTGGATCTGTGCGGTGCAAAGTGCCCGGTTTTTTTTAGCAACATGGCGACACATTATGAATTCATTTCTGCGACATATATTCATTTGCTAACCTGACATTCACCCTAATAATTCACCTCCTTCTCGTAGAAAGGTCATTCTCATAACACATTGTCCCTTTCCAGGGACGATTGTCTGAAGTGCCGCAAGCTTGGCGAAGGGTGCACAGCCGATGTGTACCTCCTCCAGAGACCGAGTGGTGAGGAGAGTGCCGTCAAGGTGATCCCTGTGGGCAGGGAACGAAACATGTACGGCGAGCTACCCATGCCGCTGGCCAGCATCATTGCCGAAGGTGTCATAACAAGGTTGGCGCACTGATGCATCGCTGGTTTTTATGAACTTAAGGGATATTTATTACATATCATTGAGTGGTAGGCTAGAGAGACACTGTCAGTGCGTGGTCACGACCCTGCAGTGAAAGGAGATACATAATGGTTGATTATACAATTGATAGTGTAGGAAATACGGGTTAGTGAAAAAACATGAGCTGCGGATGGTTTCAACCAAACTTTATTGCATTCTTTATGCAAGTAAACATGCATAAATATCTGTGACCACTTGCGGACAGGAGGCTTATCCGAAATCAATAACGCATATGGTATTAAATTACTCGCAGAAATTAAGCTCCTTGTGATGAAGTGCCAATGGGGAACTATACTAACACACACATCAGCTTCTCTTCTCATGTGAGCTTACTTAATTTTCATTTTGTCCTCTGTCATGAAGTTTTGCAGCACTGACATGTTTTTGTATACGGACGAAATGAACATTCTGCAATTTTATGCAGTGTGCCACCCCACAGCCAGAACCTGCAAGGCCCCTCAGTGCGCCCTCAACCTTGCGTTTATGCACCAGGCAGTTAGATCGACATAACTGTCATAAGACAGCTATATGCTGTGTACCACTGCGGTACAGTAAAGAAATGCATGGCATGACCTGCATTACAAGCTAGCTTAGTAATGTGGCCGTCGTTACGTACACAGAATTACTAATTAGAGGGGATGGGAAAAGGACAGGTGCGCAGACGTGTGTTCGGGTACCACAACCTGCAACTGTGATCTAGTGATTATGGTGCTCAACCTCTAACGCCCAGGTGGCAGGATTGAATCTCTACTGCATTTTTGGTGGAGGCAAAACTGTTTGAGGCTATGTATCTAGATTAGGGTGCATGTTAAAGAATGCCAGGCAGTCAAAATTTTTGTAGTCCTTTACTATGACATCTCTCATAATCAAATTGTGGTTTTGGGACGTTAAACCTCGAAGATTGTAATGGGCTGTGTCCAACATATCAGTACATATTTGTTGTGGCACTCTATATTTGTAATATTATTAGTAATTATGATTTACATATTTCCTTTAAGCAGAACGGGATCATTTCTCCTAATTATTGGTTGGAATATAATTATGCAATTTAATTTGATTTGTTTATGAGAATGTCTTTATGGTGCCATCATTTCAGTTCAAAACTAAACTTCGCCTTTTCTACTACCTAGCGCTGACTCCTGAAGTGGTTAAACGTAGCTGCGATACTCGGTTGGCTACTGCACTTTACCGCCCACCTAGATATAATACGATTCTTTGTAAATAAATGTTTTCGATCATTTAAACCGAGAAATGTACAAAATATACAGGAGAAGTCCTAAGGAACAGGCTTTGTGCAGCTTAAAAAAGACAGGCAATCAGTTTGTTATGGCTGACAAATAAAAGGTATAAATTATTCAAGCACAAACTTGCTGCAACAATTCTAGAGTCTGTTCTTTGCTCGCTTGTGGTTGACTGTGCGAACAATGCAAGTGCTGTAGCGAATACAAAAAAGTAGAGGTAATCATGATCAATTATTGCTAACGCTACACAGCGCGAACCATGCTACATGGATTGAAGCCAGATCAATTATATCAGCAGTTGTGGTGGTGTTCATCGAAGGCTGACTTCGGTTCTAGTATTGCCTATTTCAAATGAAAAATTGTAATACACACTACAACTGTATGTATATGTCTTGGTTAGCTATGATGTTAGAATGCTCGTCAATGCAATCATACATGAACTAACGTTTTTAGTGATACACACATTAGTGCACAGCATGGCACGTATTTGGCATCGATAAAACGAATGTCTATTCCCTAACGTAAGGGCCGACATTACCTCGGGGCAGATGCTGCACTTAGGTGCAGTACTGTACATGCCCGATAATCCCGCAAATAGCCCACATTACTCGATGTACATAGTTATTCGTCCATCTGCCTCCAAACGCTTGGCGAAAAGCCAAACAGTGTAGTACATAAATCTGATGGCTTGCATGACATCGACTCTCACAATGCGGGGAATCCGCTGGTAGATTTTTTCTTCTATTTGTTCCCAGAGAGCTAAGCAACCTGCGCCTTGGTCAGATGAACCAGACGTCAACTTTCATCAAGCTTAAGGGGTGAGTACCATATGGAAAGGCCAGGAAATGTTCGTGAGCTCACGAAATGTACTTTGTTATAATTATTGGCACACTCATCTGGTTCTTTCTGACCATTCTGAGTACGTTGAAGGCCGTACTTAAATGGCAAAAAGCAACTAAAGTAATCTGTGTAATACATCATTCAGAAACAGGTTTATAAGGCTGCTTAAGTTTATTCTTTGAGAATCTTGAAGCTGCCAAAATCACTTTCAGACAGTCACCATGCTTTCAAACGCAACTGGAGTCTACATTGAGGTTTATTTTTATTTTTATTATTATTGAATAGGACATGTACAATTAAGCCGCGCTTGCGGCGTAATTGGTCACATTGATCATTGAGTGGTAAAAAAAGTACAGAAATCAAATGAGAGAGAATATTTACAAAAAATACCATCCCACATTCATGATCATTTTTAGAGCAAATTTTCAGAATGACCTGCTTTTCTTTTTGTAACAATATCATTGTTTGGAAATATGTCAGTTCTGGCCATATATATTGCTTGAACTGACAGAGTGAAGATCTCTGCGGTTTACGGCGATGCTGTCAAGCATGTTATAGGTGAGAAGTCGTGGTTTTACTTTTAATTTGCGTGACTCGCTCTTATTAAGCTGAATAATTTAAAATTCCAGCTTTCTTTCTATGTGATATATGTGCCATATATTGCAGATGAGTCTGAGTGAGCTTTGCAACATATTTTACCGTTAAAGAACTTAAAAAAGCTAGGACACAAGTACACAATATATATTACGTGTAATTCATATGCATGATTATTGACTGATAAGAGCGTACATTGGTGAAATCACTGAATTACGTTTATTTTAAGAATATCTTATTGATTAACTGTGTATCTTTGCATCATTATATTACTTATGAAAATGCTACAAAACTCGGCCAACCAATTGTGCAAACAAACTACAAAAAAGAGCTCTGGCCTTCTGAATCGCCAAAAAGGAGGCAACAGGAACAGAGTTCTTACATTATACTGTATAGTTGTCTCATTATCTAGTACGTCATCTTTTACCCGCACACTACTTCTAGGTATATCAGCACCATTTCGAGGTTGTCATTTCTTGCAGGATATACTTTGTTCAAGGGACTTACCATCCCGTCTTGGCTCAAAGCTGGACAGAGTATAATTTGCAGTGGTTCTCAGAAAACTCTGACCCCTGTAAGTGGCTAACATTTCTCTTCAATTATGTTCATTGTGTGGGAAATGAGTGCCTTTGCGGTAAATAATACCGGTTCTAGACCAATTAATATTGCTGACATTGTAGAGATACGACCAATAAAAAAATATTCGAAATGCGTATCACGGAAGACACAAGTTTGCAGGCACTTTTTCTGCATGCACAAGCATTCTCAGGTGCAAAAACATTCACACAATAATGTGTGTGCAGTCACTAATGATTAGACACACAAGTACTGAGTCAGCAGTGAGCTTGAGGAAAGTATCGCAAACTCCATGGAAGTGCAATAGTGCGAGTACTGCATGAACATGCCTTCCTACTTCTTCCAAAGCAAGACACTTACATGTGAAACTCATTGAAGTTTCATAACACTACACACATAAATAAAATATTGCGCCGATCTCACGTACAGTGGGAATTAACGATATGCGAAGCCTGAATCAGGAAGGTTGATATCTCGCTTTAAAGTCTGCACAACGTTATGAGCCGGAGGCTATTTTGCTGTATATCACTTTCATATCATCATTATCATGTTTGAACACGTTATTTACTTTCGTAGTCTATTCACGTCACGTCATATCAAATTTGGTAAATGTTGAGCTAGCAAAACTGCTCAGAGTGTGCTATGGGCGCAGCATGTAGTCATGTTTTACATGACACGATACAAGTCATATACCTTCGTCCTTCATTGACATTACATAACACAGATTTTGATATTTTTGAAGCAAGTGTAACAGTTGCCAGCACACTATGATCATAGCATGTAGTCATATTTTACATGACATGCATGTCATGATAATGTATCGACGTGTCATTTACCATCGTCTTATGTCAACATCACGTAATGCCAAATTTGGTACAAGTGACGCCAGAGAAATGGCCATGAATGCCCTGTGAGCGTAGCATGTAGTCACGTTTTACATAACGTGCATATCTTCATTATCATGTGTGCACCAGCCATTTACCTTCGTCATCCATTGACATCACGTAACACCGAATTTGGTATATGTGAAGCTAGCGAAAGGACTGCGAGTGCATTACGAGCATGGCTTGTAGTCATGTTCTTACATGACACACCTCATAAGTATCATGTTTGCACCAGTTATATACCTTTGTCATCCAATCACGCCCCGTTATACCAAATTTATGGTCTGTTAGGATCTTTAATTTATGTTTGTCATGTAGTCATGTGATACCATACCAGTTTTGTAATATATCAGGTGAATTAAACCACCGTAAGAGCAGCAAGGCTATGAAATGTAAATCATGACATATCATGATTTTTATGTTATGACTAGTCAATTATGTTCATCATACAATTATGTTATGTCATACCAATTTTGGTATCGATGCCACATTCAAGACTGCCAGAAGAAATAAAAGTCAATGACGGCTACATGGGTAGCTGGATAGGTGAGTGGGTGGATGGATCGATGGATGGGTTCCAACTCCAAGTCGTTGAAGTTTGCTAATAAATGCATCGCATTTGATAAACCGAGAAAGCAGGCGCAATCAGTCTCGTGAACAAGTTTGAGGACAGATTGATGAAAGGTAAGGACTGTTTCTGTAGGACTTGTAGAAAGCATGGCTCAGCGTCTCCAAGAAATGTGGTTTAGGCAGGAAGGATGGCAATTGGACAGGAGATGAAGTAAGAGAGGCAGCCACAGGCGAGGGCTTTGTCGGTGGCCCCTACAGATGTCTGGCCGGCTCATTGTGCAAAGGAAGCAAAAAACTGCCTTCAATACACGGATGCGGTTTTGAGTAGGGGACAGGCCGTCCCTCTATGTAGCCCCTTGTATAGACCCTGGGGATGGTGAAGTGATTAAGGCGGCCATCGGAATTTTAAGCACGTTTGAAGCATGATAGTGCATTGCAATACAAATGCCGCCTCAGAGAAATGGAGAATGTGAATTTTTTCTCGACATCATATCGGCCAACCCATTGTGCAAATACGTTTCCAATATTATACTACGGGGTCTTTTGTGCCTAGAAAGTGTCTATAGATATTGAATAGCCTAGTACACAATGGAATTCACTGTAAAGTTTTGTTTAGTCAGGGGGGAGTGAGGAGGGTTTTAATGTGACAGTCACTTTTTCCCCTGATGTTACCTTCATTGAAATGCTCCCTCTATAGCGAATCCCAGGGTGTCAAAATTTCCACAGCCCTCAATTACAAAGTCTCTCATATACATATGGTGGTTTTGGGATGCCACATATCAATCATCAGTCAATCCCTCCATAGCTGAAATAGAACTTATGACCTTGAGAGAAGCAGCGAAAAAACTTGTCACAAGTTGACGCAAGTTGACGCAGTGAACGGTAGCGTTAATTAGGCATGATCAATTGCTCTGTAAACAATTGAACTGCAGATTGCCGACATATGAAAAAAAAACGATATGCAAAAAGTATCAATTCTAGGACTTCTAAAATACCCACAAAGTTTGCCATGAATATTTCATATTTTTCAGAAAATTTCCACACTGTAGCTTTTAATACTGTCATGTGTGGATTTTTATTTTTTTTTATTGCAAAGATATTGGTGACATAACTCTCATGAGTGTACACATTGAACATTAGCCATGTTTTTAGCTACTATATTTATTACCGGTTTCTTGTTTTTGTTTCAGCAAACTTTGAGGAAACGCAGTTTTACGTGCTTCTCGAGTTCGAGAACGGCGGCAAAACACTGGAGCGTTTCAAGGTATTGGGCCTGGTTCGCTTAAACCTATTTCACTTCATAACCACACATCATCTGTCATTCGCATTATATTGCATGCATTGCAGGTGGCTTGAAACAAGTATGTAAACTAGACACTTTGCGCGGACGTGCACAGGTGCACAATTTTCTATGCGGGCCACAAGGTACCGCACATTTGATGGTAGCAGCACATCTATTTGGTCTAGTTGGAAACGGCCTACCTTTTAGAAGAGTGAAAAAACAACAACACAGTGACTAGGAAGAAATACACGCAGGGCAGACACTTTCAAACAATTAAATTTCTTACCGAAAATTTAGACTTCTTATCTGAAGAGAACTACGCATGGTACACATTAGCGCACATCTTGAAACACGTAACCTTGCTAAACTGTGGCAGCAAAGTGGGCAGTAGCGAGGTTTCTTCGTCTGATATGCAAATGAAAACATGAATTATGCAGTCGTCTTGGTGCAGTAAAATGAAACATGCTTCGACGATTATACAAGTTGTTTGGTTATAATGTCTGAAGACAGTGTCAGTGTAATGAACGAGCAGGGCGTTGCATTCACACTCCTTGTAGTGAAAGACGAGGTGGCTGTGCTGGGCCATCCTTTAATCCGAGTCATGTGTTCCCTTCTTTTATTCACACTTATCTGTGTTAACTATGGTGTGCTCATGTCTTCAATTAATTTGTGCCCTTCAGTTCGAACAATATAGCTCTGAGGTTTCAGTTAATAAAACTTTTCCTTAGAAAGCACCTCTCCTTTATCTCTTCTGTCTCTTTGTCAGTGTTGCCAACTGCCTTGTTTAAAATACCCTACATGAATGGCAAATTACCCTACAGTACCTTGTAAAAGTATATCTAATTATCACACATTTTACCCTGTGCCTAAAAATAGCGCAATTTATCAATGACATTGTGCACACTGTACTTCACTGTACAGGTGCGGTCAAAAGTGTGCAGACATCGGGATCGTGTTGCAGAATGCATAGACACGTCAGCTAGCGACAGGACACGACGAGACAACTACTGGAGGGCGCATGCGCGTCCTTTATTATCACTTGGCTTCTAATGTCACTCTGTCAGACGCGGTTGCGGTGCTCGTAGTCAAAACGACAACTGGGTGTCGCGTTCTATGCTCCATTGAATCTGTGCTGTTCTTTTACATAGCGGCTGTGATGGGGTTGATTGACACCGGTTGATTTGGATAAGAAGCATAGCGAGAATTGCACAACCTGATGAAGCCATATGCACAAAATTTAATTTTCTCAGGCCAGTTTGCCTTTGTCGGGCTAATCCAAGTTGCACTTAAATTGGCTTAGTTAAGTCAAAGTTAATATAGCTGAAATAGTCAAATGTGAATATATACACGAAATTAAATACCTTTACTCTCAAAAACATACTATGCAGCAACAGATGTCTATATTAGGCAGATCGAGGCGTGTTTTGCATAATTATGTGACATCAAACTCGAGTACTTTGGGTGTGCTTCGATGTCACACACATTATTCAGTATTTATAAAAAAATGTTAAGGCTGATTTGATTTATATTTAGAAAAATGAGACTTGGCTCGGGCAGAACTAATCAGCATCTTGCCAAGTTTGGATTCTCTGAGCTCTAAGAGTTCAACTTCAATTAAGGTAATTATTTTTGTTTTAATAAGAAGTTACTTATTTAATACTTATTATATTCCAATTGGTTTGATAATGCTAGAACCAACCAAGCTTAATCAAATTTCTTATAGTTACCTTGGTGTTTGCCTAGTTAGCTTAGTTATGCATATTCAGCCTAAATATGCTTCGTGAATTTGCAGTATATAGGGTGTTTCAGTTTGATTTAAGACTAATATTCCATCATAATAGTTCTAATAGGTAACACTACAATAACTTAAAATATCTTAATTAGTATGGTAGGTAAATAGTAATTAGTATCTTCCTGGCTTTGGCTTCTGTGGGCTGATGGGGAGTCAACATAGATTAATTGGCCACGATACAGTTTGCCTTATACGGGCTAATTTTGCATGGCTAGGAAAAGATGAGCATGATCAACTGTGCCTAATTAAACTTGGCTATATTTATTTCAACTCATCTGGGCTCATTTAAGGGTAACTTTGCTTAACATGAAAAAACCAAGGTGAACAGAGCTTAACTAAACCTACTTAAGCCTGCCTTATTTAGGGAGGTCATATAGTGCTGGACTACATTTAATTCATTTTGGCTACATTAACTTTGACTTAACTAAGCTAATTTAGGTACAACTTGGATTAGCCCGACAAAGGCAAGCTGGCCTGAGAAAATTGAATTTTGAGCAGTTGGCGTCGTCAGGTTGCGCGATAGATTCTCGCTATGCTTCCTTATCCTAATCAACTGGTGTCAATAACAACACGAGCCGGTGCTTGAATTGGCCCAGTCACAGCCGCTAAGTAAAATAACGGCGCAGATTCAATGGAACATAGAAAGTGACACCCAGTTGTCGTTTTGGCTACGAGCACCCTTAACCACGTCCGACAGGGCGACATGAGAAGCCAAGTGATAAGACGGGACGCGCATGCGCCCTGCAGCAGTTGTCTTGGCATGTCTCGTCGCTAGCTGGCGCGTCGATGCATTCTGCCATGCAATCTCATAGTCTGCACACTTTTAATCGCACATGTACGTCATTCACGTCACATGTACGGCGTGAATCCAGTCGCTTCGTGAGTAGCGGTGCATAGAGCAAAGAGCATCACGGGAATAGCCGCGTCCCATTCAGTGCCCTTCTCGAAGCAGAGTGCACGCAGAATTCGCTTCATTACTGAATGAAGTTTTTCAACCAAATTACTCTGCGGATGGTAGAGAGAGCTGTGGTGAATGGATATGCTGCACTTCTTGAGGAATCTCGTGTTAAGCGCGCTTGTGAAAACAGATCCTTGGTCACATTGGATTTCACTGGGGAATCTAATTCTGGCAAATACAGTGAGTAGCGCATTAACAACTGCTCTGGAGCTTAATTCCGGCAACACCACTGCTTTGGCAAACTTCGTCGCGGGGCAAATGAGCGTAAGCAAGTACCTATTGCCTGCCGCTGTTACTGGTAAGGGCCCTACAATGTCGATTACCAATCTACAAAAAGGTTCTCCAATCAAAGGTACTTCGACCAAAGGCACCTTGAGTCGTTCGTTTGGCTGTCTCGTCCTTTGGCAAACGCTGCAGGAATGCACCCAGTTCTCACTCTTTGAAGCACATTGGCTAGTAGTAATCATTCAGCAGCCTGCTCTTGGTCTTGTTCATTCCTAAATGACCAGCCCAGCTGTTGCTGTGAACCAAACCCAGCAGCGCAACGCGATACTTTCGGGGAACTATAAGCTGCTCGAAACATCGACCGTTTTTGTTCTTGAATTTTCTATACAAGAGGCCGTCATTGACAATGAACAACACTGGTCCTTTTTGTTTCAGTCTCGATCTTTTCCAGCACGTCTGCAGTGACTCGTCCTTTGCCTGCTCCACCTTGAGAGTGCTTTTGTCAACCTTGGCCAGAAGCTAAAAATTTTCACTGACAGGGCTTATCGATTCGCCTCCGGATGCGGAAGCGACGGGAGTGATGTTATCAGTGCTTTCAGTGGCTGGTGTGGCTGTGGCGCCTGTGCTCGTTGCAGCAGTTTGTGCCGGAGCACTGTTGGCACTGTCAGCTGCAATTTCAGCGGCACGAGTAGTGCTGACTGTGTGCGCTCTGGTGAGGAACCTAGTGACCACCATTACAAAATTCGCATTAAGTTCCATTCCTGCATTTCGCAAGTCCCTCATCGATCTGTTAGAAAAAATGTACAGGATTTTTTGAGGGAGCTTGTCCGGAACAGCTGCTTCAGTCTAGAATTTCCCGAAAGGACCTTGCATTTCAATTCTTGCGACCGGCAAGCACTTTGTATCGGGCTCTAGTGCCTGTCCCACCCACACACATGATCCTGTGAAGTGCTCGGGCTGAAAAAATGACGGGTGGACGATATCAGATGTCGCTCCTGTATCAGGCAGAACCTTGCAAATGATGCCGTTCACCGCCATGTCATACGTGTAGGGTGAGAGGAAGTTGCTGTCCTCCGTTGGCAAATTAGCAGACACATTAGGCTGCCTGCAGCCTGCGATGATGTGGTCTGGTTGATGGCATTTATAACAGGTCAACGGCCGTTTTTCTTCAAACTTGGAACTCTTGAGTTCACTCGGGTTGACCGTGTGTCCTTGGGGAGGAACATTGTCGGGTTTCACTTGGTTGTTCTCTCGCTCCTTTCTGAAATTTCTTAAAAGCTTCCGACGATTTCTTTCGCAGGTCTTCCAAACTTTCCTTCCTACGGGAACAGTACTCGTCAGCCAAACTTGTTGCCATTTGCAACCTTTCGACGTTTGGCTTGTCCTGAATCCACAGGCACATTTGCTCCGGAATCGATGCATAAAATTGCTATAGCACAGTCAGTTCAATCACGCATTGCTTGTCCTCGTATGCCTTGGTGCTTTTAAGCCATTATTCTAACAAGCTCATGGATTTGTAGCCAAAATCGGAGTATGACTCCCCTTGACTACACTTTGTGTTATGAAACTTCATCCTCAGGACTTCTGTTGACAAGCTGTACCTTTTCCTAAGCTGATGCTTTACTTTTTCGTAGTCACTTGCATCTTTATCTGACATTCTCGCAACTATGTCGGCTGCTTCGTTGGGAAGCAATGTCAACAGGCGTTGCGACCAGGTTTCTTTTATGAAGTGCTGCCCTAATACACGTTCTCTCGAAGTTGACGAGATACAAAGTAATGTCACTGCCAACCTTGAAAGGTTGCATGTACCCGCGCATGTCGACGCTATCATTGCGTTCAAGGCTCTGCAGTTGCATCTCTTTCAACTTTAGTTCTACCTCTTGCTGTTTCAATAGCAGGAAGACTGCCTTCTAACATTCCTCTACTTTGTCATCTTCCGCTCCGCAGGTGAATATTGCATGAATTATTTTAGGCTTACGCATTGACTTCTGGACTTTGATGCCTAATTCTTCAGCTAGCAACACAAGGTTGGGCTTCGTTAACGACTCGAGATTCATGACTGCTGATAACAAACCTAACTCTTACACGTAATACTTAAATCTAGCAAAGTAAAAAAATCCTCTCCTACCAAGAAAATGTCGTTTATGCTCCCAATGAAGTCAAACAAGCCATGCTCTCACCAAACGTTTGCCAAGGGCCACCACCGACGCACGCTCCAAACCGCTGCCACCGCTGCCACCAGCTGTTACATATTCAGCGTCTGAAATGACCAACGAGAGCCGAGGAACAGGCGACGCAAGCAGTGCCAGGAGACAAACACGCTTTATTCACTCAGCGACGCGCTTTTTATGTGCTGTCGAACTAATCAGAGGGCGGAAAAAACAAAAACAAAAAGAAAGTCAAACGAAAGAGCATGGCAAGCTGGGCGAATGTTATAGCAGGTACACGGGTGTTAGCGAAATATCGACAGGCTATTTGAGAGTTCGTGAAAATATAAGGTTGCTGTCCTATAACGTCTTTGGTTTTGATGGCGAGTGTCACCGCTAGGGCTTTCACTGTGTCCGCTTAGTTCGTCTTAGCTGAAGCACAGGTGAATGAACCAGGGGCTGGCAAAGTGTTGGCAAAGTAACAAAAAATAATGTTGTGTCGATCGTCGACATTTTTCAGTAATTGATGCTCACAGAAAAGTAGAAATTATTGTACGTCTGTAAGAACATAGTATTAACACCCTACTATGCCATGCTGTGAAAAATGTCTTAAAACATACCCTGCAAGGAGGATAATTCCTTTCGGTTGGCAACTCTCCTCTGTTTTTTTTTTTCGCGCTTCTTATCGATGCACAATTTATAGCGATACCTGGCGCAACGCACTGAAAACTATGTACTGCAAAGCTTGTAGCCGTGTATCACGCCACGCAAGCAAAACTGTATAACATAGTCAGGAGTGGTATGGTAGAGTGATGGTTTGGAGCAGATGGAAGAGGAGAGTGAGTAAAGCCACGTGTTGTATAACCGCGTAGGAGTGGAGGAGATGGATGTGGCAACGAGATGAGATGGTGTGGGGGTACATCATTGGATAGCCACGTAAGGCGTTGCATAGGTGCCATAATTAGTGAGGTAGTATATAAGGGTAATCGGGTGGAGAACATTCGACAAGTACTCTGAAATCATGACTGGTATATTGCAACTGTCTCTCAAGAGGGTATATAACAGCTGCATCTTGCCTGTACTTGCCTACGAAGCAGAAACCTGGAGGCTTACAAAGCGGGTTCAGCTTGAATTGAGGACAACGCAGTGAGCGATGGAAAGAAAATTGATAGGTGTAACCTTAAGAGACAAGAAGAGAACACAGTGGATCAAGGAACAAACCGCAGTTGAGGGTATCATAGTTGAAATGAAGAAAAAGAAATGGACATGCGCCGCGCATGTAGCACGTAGGCAGGATAACCGCTGGTCACTAAGGATAACTGACTGGACTCCCAGAGAAGGCAAGCGGGTTAGGGAGAGACAGAAAGTTAGGTGAGCAGATGAGATTAAGAAAGGTGTAGGTATAAGTGGCAGCAGCCAGCACAGGAACAAGTTTACTGGCAGATCATGGGAGAAGCCTTTGTCCTGCAGTGGACGTAGTCAGGCTGATGATAATTATGATGCTTATATGATGGTGCGAAAGAGAAGAAAGGGTGACCTGAAGGAAAATGAAGTATTTTGTTGTCGTATGCAGTCATCTCATGTCGGCCCTTGGCGTCGTGTAGGCCAACCATGTATACCATGTTCATTTATAGCAAGGTGGTTGGGAATGATTTTTTTGTTTTTCACAGCATTGCAAGGCTGTTTACGCCTCAGCACAAAGTTTCCAATTTTAGAATTATACACACATTCACAGTTCGCAAACTCGACTTCATAAACCACACCAGAGAACTACTCGTTTTCTAACTTCCCTTTCACAATGACAAGAGTGCGTGTTCCAGGTTGTAAGCACGTGTATAAGCTACGTGTATTCGTCGTACTGGCGCATAACATTGGCCAAAATCTCACATAAGGATCGTTCGGTGTACTGGACCGATTCGAACGTTTTGATGGGGTGGGACTGTGGAAGGGTGACGCATCTTGCATTGTACGAATTGCACATATTAATCTGCTTAACCACTTCCCGACAGGTCCCGGTACACACATTGAGCGTCAGAGCAGAGGTCAGCAGACTTGGTACATGTAATGTTGGCACGCTGCAATTAGGACATCATTAAACTCTTGTATGCTAGAGGGTGTATCGAATTTAGGTGCGAATGTCGGCCAACAAATGCGCTCTTTACTAAATGCGGCAAAGGAAAGTACAATACACTTATGTTTCACCAGTACATCGAGAAAGAGCGACTCCGTTATTTTGTTTAACAGTAAATTGAATGGATATTTCTGTGAACTGTGATGCGTTTCGTAAATTGATCCAAACATTTTTTTTCTTCATTATGTGCGAACGGTAGTAGACTTTATTCTTTAGACCAGATGATTTTCCATCAAAGCCATGGTTTTCTTTTACCAAGATTTTATTGCGCAACCACATAACATGAGGGCACCTTCATAATTTTGTATACCACGATGACCACATTTGGAAAAACACGATGTGCACAAATGCATATGTACTATAACAAATATATCGGGGTTCAAATTCCGGCTGTGGCGGCTGCAATTCCGATGGAGGCGGAAATGTTGTAGGCCCGTGTGCTCAGATTTGGGTGCACGTTAAAGAACCCCAGGTGGTCTAAATTTCCGGAGACCTCCACTACGGCGCTTTCATAATCATATAGTGGTTTTGGGACGTTAAACCCCACATATCAATCGATCAATTATAACAAATATATCGAGTACAACGTCCCCAAATCATGTTAAGATTGTGCTCAAACTTGGCCACACCTTAAAAAACCATGGTATGATTAGAAAAAACACTGTAGTGAATGACTCCGAATATTTTGATCATCTGCTTTCATTAACTTGCACTAACACCATAGAGCACATAGGCATCTCGCATTTCACCTCCACCCAAATGTGACCACCGTAGCTGTGATCGAACATGCGACTTTAAGGTCTACAACCGAAAGTACCATAATCGGTGCACCACAGTGGCGAACATGCTGTCAAAAAAATGCGCAGTAACGAACCCCATGTTGCACAATAATGAATCGGGTATGTGGTGCTTAAGCACCAAAAGGTAATTTTGTAAAAATAGACATTTCATTTCATATCTTTTATAGGTTCCATCTTTTACCTATAATGTACCCCCCGACCCAGCATATACGAGTGCGTTTAAAGACATTAAAAAATAAATGCGATGGCTTCCTCTCAGTGCTAGAAATGGATGAATATGACATTTTTCTATTCAGAATGCAACGAGTTGTTTCATGTTCGGGTCAGCCTTCAAGAAACATTTGCAGATTTATCAAAAATTTGTCTTTGTTTCGTAATTTTTTTAAACAGCAGCATGGCGCTAGGTACCTTCAGAAACTTGGCCTCCCCACGGTGGTTTAATGGCCAATGCACTCGGCTGCCGACCCACAGGTCACGGAGTTCAATCCTGGTGGCGGTGGCTGCATTTTTGATTGAGACGAAAATTCTGTAGGCCCTTGTGCTCAATTCGAGTGCACATTAAAGAATCCAAAATGGTCAATTTCTGGAGCCCCCCACCACGGCATCTCTCATCATATGGTTGTTTTGGGACGTTAAAACCTACATAGCATCAATCTTCAAAAACTTGCTGTTCGCAACTAGTTTCCTTCGATGTGCGATTCGGCACCCTCGCACACAACCACGCAACCAATCATCCATACATGATACCGTTTCATTGAACAGCTGACAGTGTGCCCCTCGAAGTATTTTGAATGAGCACCTAGGAGTATTACGAATGAGGGCCTATGTCAGTATGTATGTTGTAAGAATGTGTCTAATTGTGCTCCAGAAGATTTACCACTGTGTGCACAGAAACGCGGCTCCAATGTTTTCGCCTTTGCAACTGCAAGTACCCCACTCACACTATATCCTGTTTGCAGGGCACCATAGAGCAGCTGGAAAGCATATTCTTGCAGGTGGCCTGCTCACTGGCTGTGGCCGAGCTGGAGCTCGAGTTCGAGCACCGCGATCTTCACTGTGACAATGTTCTGGTGAAACGCACAGAGCAGGACTGCGTCGAATTCATGCTGAATGGTCGAAAAATGCTGGTGCGCACTGCCGGCGTCAAGGCTTCCATCATTGACTACACATTGTCACGCATGCGCAAAGGTAAGCACACCAACTTTAAACTGTTTCTTGCTCATTAACGTCAATTAACGTCAGCTCAATGACAGGAGTTAGAACTAGCGGTGGTTGCAGCTATTTCAGTTGGCATCAAGCAAAAAAAATTGACCTGGGCTGACCATGCTGTGGGAATAACTGAAAACTGGGACTCGGTAATAGCAATATTGGTTACCTCAGGGGTAGGAAATGCAGTCGAAAAAGATGGAAAGTTTGGTGGAGTGAAGAAATTAAGAAGTGTACAGGGATGAAATGAAATAAAGTCATTCAGGATAGAATAAACTGGAGATGTTCGGGAAAGTTTTTGGTCTTGTTGTGTGCTAAAACAGGCTGTGCACATTGTGTTGAACTATTACAAAGAGTCGCAACTTTGCCGCAAAGGAGCAGCATTGAACACGATAGCAATAAATTGGAAGGTCACACGAAGAATGGCAAGCAGATTGAAACGTGCCTCACGTTTCTCATGCACAAATGACGCACTGAATCTACTTACTAGCACAAATGAACGCGAATAAGCGTCTCGGTTGTAACTTCACCGTGTCTGAAAAGCACACACTTTTTGCAAAGAGAGACTGGGCAACAAGTGCGGTGACCTCTTTACGCCTGGTAACTACTATAGAATCGTTGCGGTGAAAACCTAAGGTGTGTCATTGTCCCCACTTTGAGATAAGTGAGCGTGCGCGTGAGATGAGTGAGCGTACTTTGCCCCTTTTTTGTGGGGAAAAGTGCACATTGGAGATGAGAGCATGCCCAGCCACATCATTACGATCTCGCAACACGCTTATTGCTCCATCTCGCTCCTACTGCTGAGAACACGATAGTTCTCTCGCCAGTGGTAAGTGGTAGATATAAATAGATTGCCGTCTGAACATTGAAGCAGGTGCTCCTTCGTGGCTCTGTGGCTAACTCTTCGCCCTCCCTATTCAGAGGTCGGAGTGTTTTTCTGGTTTATTTATATTTCTTGCGTTTTCACATATGTAGATACGCATACATATACGGTGTATAAGGTCGATGCCGATGGCGGCAGCAAAATTCAGCTGAGTGTGTCCATATAATCGCTACTCCAGTAATATAAAGAGTGCGGGGCGACTATCGTCGGCCGCATAGCATGTTGGTGGACTGCAGTTACTTTTCTACCAATACGACGACTAATGGGCTGTGCTATAAAGTTATTTGGGTGAGTGACCCTGTGATTGGGCCGGTATAAATGAGATCTAACTAATGTTGCCCATATAAAAAAAAAAGCTACGGTGAACTTGTAGAACAGCGTGAAACTTACCCTGTGTAAACCCAGTTTAAAGGGAGCAGTAAGAGGCCTGTAAACACTGCTCTATTTTTCATGTGAATTGATTATTCAAACAAGTGTTGTGTAAAAAATTATTAGGACAGCTTTGCATTATTGCCAAGCATGAAGGAAGGTGGAAGCTTGAAGCCACTTCTGTTTCAGCAATTTTGAAGTTTTTTTTTTCTTTTGAAGTTTCTCTGTGTTTTACCTTTATCTTTAATATATTTTGTTTTTATTGCTATGTCTTCATTTTTTTGTCTGCCATTCTGTTTCTAGCTTGTTTCCTGTTTTTTTTTTCAATTCATATACAATGTTTTGACAGTGCAAATCCAAGCAATGACGACAGTGTACAATAGACCAGGCCCCTAAAATTAGGAATGTAATTTTCTGCGCTACATAGTAGACTCCAAAACAATTTTGTCATACTTTGAGCTCATCCTGAACACGATGTGTACAGAATTTATTGCGTCAGCTAGAATTTCTTTAGAGTTACCCAAATAAATGTTTATATGGTGATTTATCTGTTAGTTGTCCTTGGGTGTGTTTTAAACCTTACTATCAGATGGGTAAAAAAGCACACATTCCGCGTCGTTGTCGTTGGTAAGTTTATTGCAGCTATAGAATGCCACCCGCAGTCCCAGCCTCAGACCTTTCATGCGCTCCAACGGCCACTTGCGGGTATGGTTTGAGTGCAAGTAAAAAGAAAAACAATAGTTTTTTCTGTCCCAATAATTTCTTCATAACTCGCAAGTTTTGTATCGTATGTCTTTTTTACTCACCCAGGCAGGAATGTGGTGTACACAGACGTGTCGGATGACACGGCACTTTTCAAGGGCATCGGGAGTTCCCAGTATGACGTCTATCGCATCATGAAGGACGAAAACGGGTGAGCACAAGGGGCCACTGGTCTTGCTGGGAAAGCCATGGCCACTGCAGAATCTCCTGCTGTCTGAATGCTTCTGGGTTTTTCATAGCGACATAGCCAGCTACGAACATAGTTTCCCTACTTCTCAAGCAATGATGCCATGTATTTCAATGGTGGGTGTAGAGTACATGGCATCATACTTTTGTCTATACATTGGCCCATTTGAGGTTACGTACAAGAAATGTGATGCTCCTTGTTGACATTTGAAACACGGGACGGCACTATATATATGATAGGGTCAAATAAAGTGACATCCAAAATTAGAAAATGGTAAATACATAGTTTTATTCCACATGTTACCATTAAGCTGTAATGCAAAATCTTTTCTTCTTGTGTAAGGAAGTGTTACATAAATGTGACTATGATGCCACGCTTCAAAAGTTTATTATGAACAGAAATGTAAACGACACCCCATGTCTCATATCTCCCCAACTGGTGGGGAAAATGAGACAGTGTGAAAAAAATTCATCTCATCAGGTGATCCAGTAGAAGCACTTGAAAGTGACTATGTGGGCCCTCACGCAGTCCTCATAAGCCCAGTTTTTACACTCCACGCAGTAAATCCAGACAGGACCTGGCTCTCTATTCACTCTATTGCTGATTGATTGATTGATTGATTGATACATGGAGTTTAACATATCAAACCACCATATGATTGAGAGACACCATAGAGGAGGGGTCCGGAAATTCCAACCATTTGGGTTTATATACCGTGCACCCAAATCTCAGCCTACAGCCCTACAGCATTTTGATCTCCATTGAAAAGGCAGCCGCTGCAGACAGCATTTGATCCCACAACCTGCTCTTCAGAAGCCGAGTATCTTAGCCACTAGACCACCACGATGGTTGTGTTAGAAAACATTATTATGGCCACCTTTCAATAACACTAGGGGAAATTTCTAGTCCGGTATCCCTGCAGCTGCCGCGGTGGCTCGGGCCCTAAACACCAATGCCTGTTGGGCTTGAAGGTCGAAGCAGCTGAGCAGGACAGCTTCCCAGTCCTCTCGGGTGGGGCAGGGAAGGTTTGGGTAGGTGGGGCTCTCTGTTAGTCTGAACTTCTTGGCGATCAAATGCAGTCAGTACTTCTTTAAGCTAAAATTGTCTTTATGTAATCATTCCGGACTGACAGAGAGGCCATACTCACGATGAACGATCTTGTTTCGAATCCAGTAAAGCTTGGCTTATGAGGGACACCACAAGGCTCACTACTATCCCCGACCCTCTTTAACCTCGTCGTGATCAGTCTGTCTCAGACTCTCCAAAGTCGATGGCATTATTCATACCATTTATGCTGATGACATCATCACCGTATCGTGTGCCGCTGGCAGCGATGGACGAATAGAGGTTGTGCTACTGGAAGCTATTGAGGTCACGAAAAACTACCTTAAAACGACTGATCTTCAATTCTTGCCGCAGAAATCGTAACTGCTTCTGTACAGGCCCAAGCGCAGGGGCCCCAAACCAAGACGCTGGAAGCCATTACAGCATACTGACATCACTCTTAAAACAGGTGAGGGCAGCTTGATCCCCAGGGTAGACTCCCTCTGGGTATTAGGTATACGACCATCCAGTCGAACAGCTCCATTAACCTGACGGTCATGAGTCTCGCCAGAAAAACTGACAATGCCATCAGACTAATAAGGATTTCCAACAGGAAACATGGACTTTGAGGAGATAACCTCGTAAGCTTGGTGCACGCTTTTGTGATGCACCATTTCACGTACATTGTAGCCATGCACAACTGGCAGAGGTGGAAGAGTGGTAAGCTTAACATGTTAATAAGAGAGGCCATAAAGAGAGCTCTCGGGCTTCCCATGTACACAAGCACAGATAGACTGTTTCGTCTCGGCATGCACAACACGCTTGAACTTGAAGAAATTTCACACAGGAGAGGGCGCGATTCCTCGGGCTCTCTACCACGGGTTCCAATAGAAACATCCTGCGTGAGCTGGGAATTTCACCGATGAAAATCAAGTCTCACTTATGCAGCATTCCTTGTCAACAACGAGAACAAATCACCATTGTCCCCATCCCGCAAAATGTCCACCCTGAGGAAAACAAGGGTAGAAGACGGGCCAGGGCAAAGGCTCTACTACGTAGGGCTCAAGAACAAGCTGGGGACTGCTCCTTCATCGATGCAGCCCGATATCTTGAAGGGAAGGCGTATAAGGCAGTGAGCATCAGCCTCGAGGGTGTTACTACCGACTCTACAACGATCCGGACGACGGGGGCTGACATATCAGGGGCGATTGCGTTGGCCTTGCTGGATAACAGGAGGTCCACAATTTACAGCGACTCCAGATCGGCGGTCCGAGCATTTGCCTAGGGAGCAATATTGGAAGTAGCTTTGCGAATTCTTCAGGACAAATGCATAGCGCCAAACACTCGCTTGGTGTCCAGCTCATACGGGACGCATTAAGGGAGCCCTGTTCAATCTGCACGAGGACTAATGAACCGTGCAGCTATCAGGAAGTGCGGCACTGATGTCTTGGAGAACCCATACCCTCCCACCTTGTATTATGAATTGACAAAACATTTTTACATTGCACGTAGACAATACCCTCCACCATACAGAAAACTAAGCAGACCTCAGGCTCTGACACTCAGGCGTTTTAGGATTGGGGCATACCCTAATCCCACTCTATTGAACAGCCAACTAATACATAATCTTACTGCCGCAATATAGCTACCTTAGAACATACGCACTGGCGATGTCCCGCGTTATGCTGTGGGGAAGTCATCACGCCATCAATAGGAGGGTGATATTGCAAGCTCCGGACTTGTACAACAGCTCTGGGCTGGGTGCAAACTTGAACGTTTGCATCTCGCTCAGGCGGCGTCGAGTGATTCGAAAAGCCATCACGTGATGACAACGTAATAACGTCAGACATTGCCAAGAATTGACGAAATGAAAACGTCGCGTGACTTAACGCACTAACGCCATCGCATGATATCCGAGCTTGGTCAAAGGTGTTAAGATCATGGAGGCGATTCCAAGCAAGTTTTGCACTTTATCTAATTTTGGAGGCAGTGCAAACCACATTAGGTGCAGCCTATTTTTGAAGGGTGGTGTGAAAGGTGGCGGGCATGGGCAATGGCAGGGGAATGAAAAAGGGGTACTGTCCCCCGCAAACTACACCAGCGCTTTCTCGCACCCAAGCTACACCAGTGCTCTCCCCCTCTCCCAGCTGTGATGCAAGACGGGTTTGCACCCACGGCAAAGCCCTGCTGACACTCGTAGACTGACAGAGTAAGATGAGTACATCGACTGAGAAGAAAAAGGACACGACCGTCGCCTTCGAGTCGTCTTAGGTAGGGGAACTAGAGTTTTTATTGAGGTATCTAAGGCACTCGTCTTAATAAATTCACATAGTAATTACATGATATGCTTCAGATGTAAAATACCAGCCCCGTTATCAGTGAGTCAAAAAACAGACATTAACAAGGGGAAAATAGCTGCACCAACAAAATAATCCAAGTCCTGAAGTAGCACTGAGCAATCAACAAAACTTCCGGTGACTTTCGCGTATTATCTCGTCCAAGAACTGAGCAAGTGTGTCTGCCGCATTCCTTTCTTATCCGGCATGTTCAATGACGATTACGGGTATTTGGGACAAAAAGAGTAATTAGCGTGCATAAAAGTCAGAGCGGTCAGATGTAGCCGTTTCTTTCTAACAGCAGCACCTTACACCAAACAAAACCACTCGCGGCTCCTGATGTAAGTAGGCAAAAGCGGAAAAGCGTCGTCTGTTCTGCTCTCTGGCACTCCGTTCTGCCATAATGCCCCAGTGGCGACTCACCAAGGGAAGGCACAGTGCAGCAATTTCTAGAAAGGGCGGTAACACTCTGAGACACGATTCTTAAAACACAGCGCAGTTTTTCTGCCATTGTTTCAACTCCCTCTTCTTTCTTTTCTGGAGACTACCCACTGTCAGTTCATGTCGCAAGTTTGCCGTGCTAGAAGAAGAAAAGTACGCCACAGAAGGGCCTCCCTGCAGACAAGTGGCCGTGGGAAATTAAAGAAAAAAAAGATCAGATGGAGTTTGTCAGAATGGGTGCTGGCTTGATCCTTTCAATGCTGACTGTGTCTTCATGCTCATTGCGCAGGATTTTAAAATGATGTTCAGAATGTTGGATGACTGCAAAAGGACCGCCATAGTGAGGCTGAAGAGCACAGCGAGATGCATCAACACGAACAAAAACGTGTGAAGATGTCTGTAGGTTTGCCGGCAGAAAAACATCGTTCTTAATGTGCGCTGAGGTGGGTGATGGGCACAGGCATTGCATGAAGATCCGCAGATGCTGGATGAAAGAAGATGGATGCGGAACACTCTGCGTTGTAACGGGGCTGACGAGGTCACCAGGCAAACGTTGTGTGCAGCCATAAACCATCTCTGCTACAGAGCAGGCAAGTTCTGGCTGAAGCATTGAACGAAAGCCGAGAAGCACGATAGGGAGGTGCGATACTTAATCTTCAGCGTGAAGCTGTGAAGCAAGTGGAGCTTTTAGATGACGATCGAGTCTGTCTAGAATGCCATTTGATGCTGGATGATGCGCAGTTGTGCGAATGCGCGCACAACCCAGTAGAGATGTGACAGAGGTGAAAAGCGCTGACTCAAACTGTCTGCCTCGATTAGTAGTCACCATTTATGGTACCCTGAAGCGGCAAATCCAGGTAGCAAGAAAGGTATGCGTATATGTTTCTGCCGTGATGTCAGGCAATGGAGCTGCTTCAGGCCCCCTGGTCTACCTGTCAATACAAGTAAGCAAGTACCTATATCACCGGCATTGAGGTAAAGGCCTGACAATGTCCAAATGAATGGTGTCAAAATGTGCATTAGGGAAAAAAAATGTTCTTCAAGGAGGCTTGGTGTGCTGTTGTACTTTCATACACTGACACACTGTGCAAGAGCGAACCCAGTCACAAATTTTAGCCTGGATGCACGGCCAGACATAGCGTT